GCCGCCACAGCAAGCCGGGGGATTTAACACCACCACGGCCGTCCATGGCTACACCAAAGAACGGAGGGGCTCTCGCCACCCAAATTACCAGCCACACGTTCTCCTCATGGTGGCCACCGGCCACCAAGCGCTTTCGGCGTCTGACTACGGCGGAACAATTGGAGCGGCGACGCCAGGGTCTCTGCTTCAATTGTGATGAGCAGTATGCGCGGGGACACGTGTGCAAGCGCCTTTTCTACCTCGAGACCGTCGGCGAATACGCGACCGCAGAAGACGAAGGGGCTGTGCCACCGGAGGATTCGGCTACTCCGGCAGAGGAGCCTACAGCTAATGCCCTTGTTGTCTCGATGTATGCTCGCAGTCATTCGAACGGAAAACACAATGCTCCCGCTCAGTCATTTGAAGGCGAACGACTCCTCGCCTTTGCCGGACACCGGGTCCACGACACGCTCCTCCAGGGCCACGTGATGCGCCGTTTGGGGCTCTCTTCCCCGGGCGCCGCGCAACTACATGTCACCGTCGCCAGCGGGGAGCGCCTGCCGTGCGAGGGGATCGGCCGCGACATTCCACTCTCCATCGGTGGCGCGTCGTACCCGGTCACCTGCGTCGGCCTCGCGCGTTGGGCGCCGACTTCATCATCGGCGTCGACTTCTTGCGCACCTTGGGGCCCCTCACCGGACTTTGACGGCCACACGGTGTCCTTCCAGCGGACAACCGACGCATTACTTGGCAGTGCGAGGGCTCTCCACCGGCGCCTCAACACCTGCTGGCCGCGGACGCAGCCGACCAGCCTCGGCCCTTGCTGGACAGACTACTACAAGCAAAGACGGCGCCGTCTTTGAGGAGCCGCGCGGCTTGCCGCCCGTGCGGCCATACGACCATCGGATCCATCTCCTTCCTGGCATGGCACCGGTGGCGGTCAGGCCGTACAGGTATCCACAGCTGCAGAAGGATGAGCTCGAGCGTCAATGCGCCATCATGCTGGAACAGGGCATCATCCGGCCCTCTACGTCCCCATTCTCTGCCCCGGTCCTTCTGGTCAGGAAGGCGGATGCCTCCTGGCGCTTCTGCATCGACTACAGGGCTCTCAACGATAAAACATCAAAGGACAAGTTCCCGATTCCGGTGGTCGACGAGCTTCTCGATGAACTCCACGGCGCCAAGTACTTCACCAAGCTTGACCTCCGCTCGGGCTATCATCAGGTGCGCATGCACCATGAGGACATCGCCAAGACAGCGTTCCGCACTCACCAGGGGCACTTCGAGTTCCTGGTCATGCCGTTTGGCCTCTGCAATGCGCCGGCAACCTTCCAGGCGCTGATGAACGACGTCCTTTGCCCATTCCTCCGCAGGTTTGTGCTGGTTTTCTTTGATGACATTCTCATCTACAGCACATCGTGGGCAGCACACCTCCAGCACGTCGGCCTCGTCCTCAGCGCCCTTCGCGCGCATGGTCTCTTTCTCAAGAGGTCCAAGTGCTCCTTCGGCGCCTCCTCCGTGGCCTACTTGGGCCACGTCATCTCCAAAGACGGCGTCGCCATGGACAGCGACAAGGTGGAGGCGGTCGCAGCTTGGCCGGCCCCCCACTCACCCCGCGGCGTACGGGGCTTCTTGGGTTTGGCCGCTACTACTACTAAAGTTCATTAAGGATTTCGGCTCCATCGCTGCGCCCCTCACACGTCTCCTGCGCAAGGAGGCGTTCGCCTGGGATGAGGCGGCTGACGAGGCGTTCTCCAGCCTCAAGCGCGCTTTATCATCGGCGCCTGTGTTGCAGATGCCGGACTTTGATCGCCGATTAGGGTCGATCGCGACGCCCCAAGACACGGCCGCTAGCGGTGTCGCACTGGGGCGGGTCCCCAGCCTTCTTCGATCGGCCGTTCGCTGCCCGTCACATCAAGTCGGCGGCTTCTGAGCTTGAAGCTCATCGGCTTGGTCCAGTATGCGCCATTGGCGGCCGATACCTCTGGGGCCGCCGCTTCCTCGTCGCGCCGACCACTACTAAAGCTTGAAGTTCCTCCTCGATCAACGGTACGTCCCACCGTTCCTCAACATCGGTGGCTCGACAAGTTGTTCGGTTCGACTTCACCGTTGAGTACCGGCGGGCGCCTCAACACCGCCGCCGATCGCTCTCCCCGCCGCGGACGAGGGCGGCCCCACGGCGATGGTCGTGTCCGGGCCCTCCTTCCGCCTCTCTGACGACATCGGTAAAGCATTGGCGCCGGACCAGAGGCCGGTGAACTCCTCCAAAGAAATGACCAATGGGGCGCTGGATGCGCCATGGCGCCGCCGAGGACGGTCGGCTCGCTCTCCACGGCAAGCGTGTCTTCATCCGGCACATGGCGACCCACGTCCCCTGTGTGGTGGCGCTGCACACAAGGCCGGCCATGAGGGCATCTGAAGACCCTTGTTCGCTCCGCCAAGACTTCTACTTCCCGGTGACCGCGTCTTCGGTGCAGATCGCGTCCGCTCTTGCGACACGTGCCGCCGAACAAGACGCCGACAACGCACCCAATGGGTTGCTCCGACCCTTTGGTCGTTCCATCGCAGTGTGGGCGGACATCTCTATGGACTTCGTCCAATGGCCTCCCCAAGGTGCATGGCAAATCGGTCATCCTAACGGTGGTTGATCGGTTCTCCAAGTACACGCACTTCATCGCCTCGGCCACCCCTACACGGTCAAGGCGTCGGTGGCGCGCATTCTTCGATGGCATTGTGCGCCTCCACGGCTTCCCCACCTCCATCGTCGGCCGACACGACCCCGTCTTCACCAAAGAATTTATGGCGTGATCTCTTTAAGCTTTCAGCATGAAGCGATTGCTTGAGTACGGCTTTCCATCCACGATCGGATGGGCGGTCCGAGGTGGTCAACCGGATCATCGTGATGTACCTTCGCCGCGTCACCGGGATCGCCCTCGCCTCTGGTCGACCGGCTTTCTTGGCGAGTATCGCTACAACACGCCCTTCCAGACGGCGCGCTCGCAACGCTGCTCGAGGTGGTCTATGGACGCCCCACCGCCCCTCCTTCCGCTTCCAAAGATGGGCGGCTCGAACTTCAAAGCGGTGACACGATGCCATGCGATCGCGACGCGCTCTCGGAGGAGGTCCGGAGCGTCTCCTTGAGCACGCGAAGATGCCAAGCGGTACTATGATTTAGCATCATCGCGACGTGTCCTTCGGTGGGCGCTGGGTGCTATTGCGCCTCCTCCACCGTCTCTCATGCGTGTCCTCGTCGCGCACTCAAGGCAAGCTCACCACGCTTCTGCCGGGCCGTTCATGGTGCTCGAGCGCGCGTCGGGCCGGGGCATACCGTCTGCAACTTCGCGGGCGCTTCGCCTTCATGACGTATTCCATGTCGGTCCACTCAAGGCCTACACGGAGCTCCCCGCTGCTCCAGCATTTCTTCCACCGATGCACAGATGGCCGCTTACGCAAGCGCTGAAGGGTGTCATGCAAGCTCAACTCCGTCGCGGCGAGTGGCGCGTTCTTGTCGATGGCGAGGGGGCTTCCGGTGGATGATGCGACATGGGAGCATCTGGAAGAATTCAAGGAGCAATATCCTGAGGTCCAGCTCGAGGACGAGCTGTTTGCCGAGGAGGGAAGAGATGTTATGACCGGTATACAGTATAAGAGGCGCAACCGGTCCAATAGTGGCTGAATAGGCCCGTTTAGTTATTGTTTATAATGAATTAATATTTACCTATTAGCTTGAGGGTTATTTCGTAAAAGGATATTTTAGAGTATAAATTATTGTAATTGGGATTATTGAGGATTAAGCAGAAACAATCTTAATTGTTTCCGGCTTCCCCCAGGGAGCCGGGATTTGCCCTAGCCGCCCCCTGTCATCTTCCTCGCCTACAACCTCGCGACGGCGCCCAGCCGCCGGCAGCGAGGAACGCGGCCTGCTCCTCCTCCCTCACACCCATACAAACTACGCAACGTCGCTGGTAGGATCAGGAATCCTATCACTTATGATCCCTTACTGAGTTCTTTCGTGGCAGAGTTTCTAAGTTCAAGCAAGATTGTATGGATGAACGAAGCTGAGTAGCAAAGTGAGATGATCCAGAGGTCTCCCTACCATCAAATGATCTGTTTGAATCATCAACCACTGAGTTTTTTCTACAATTCACATCAAAAGCAGTCCTTGACACAGAAGATGCCAATGAATGTGCTTGTCCATATGGAACGCTTTGGGAAATTCTGACTTCTGCTGGGGGCTTCATGATGGACAGTATTTGGGATGCTACAGATAAAGATGCCATTTGGTTAATATAAAATACATGAGTCTAAATAAGCAAGAGTAGTTGTACAACTCACCAACACACACCTAAGGGGGAACTGTGTTCCATCAAAATGAGGCTTGTACTTAAAACATGATTATTATAGCATCATACATTTATACAAAAATAAAATCATGATTTAAATCCAAATTTCTCATTATCAAACACACACAAGAAAAGTGAAATGAGCATGATGGAAGCATAACAGCAGGATTTCCAATTTATTAGACTTGAGATTTGAGAACTATACTAATTGTTTACTACACACCTTGGCATTGTAAAAGGGCATGCATCGAGACAGTTAGCTTATTTTACAAAGTGATCACTTTACAAAGATTGTGCAACAGAAGCTGACTGGGCACTCATGCCCAAAGTGCTTATCAATGATCCTAAGGTAGTCCAAAGCACAACAGCAATTAAATCAATCTGCTTGACCACTCTGCCACTCCAGCATCAACCATGGGGTCCAAAGCAACTATTTTCCCAGTTTCCTTACACAGGAATCATGCAACAGATATTCAAGCTAGAAATAAGTAAAGATGTACAAACCAGTTCGTACTGAATGATCCATGTTACCAAAAGTTGATTTGCCAACCTCTCTCCTGTCAAAACTCCTGGGGCATCCTGCCTGAAGATCTGTAGATCGTGGAGAAACATAGGTGATGCTGCATTAGAATATATGACAACCAGGAACTAGAACTAAATGAACGTAATATTGTAACATTAAGCTCCAGTACCATGAAACTGTGGCAGATCCCTGGTAGAACTTAATTTGCCAAATGCAGGACAAGGATTGGTAGCTGTGGCCCTCTGTATGTCTGCAAAAGCAGTATCGTTGCACAAACAACGTATAAGAGTATGGAAAGTATAAATGGAGTGTAAAACTAATGATTCAGTAGATCGATACGACTAAATTTAAGCGGATCATCCATGATACCAAATGCTGATTCACTACAGTCAGCCCTTCTATTGACATTGTAGTCTGATTTACTCCAAGGATCTGAAAGTACCGAAAACGGATTGTAGTTGAACTATATATTAAGCTCTATGGGAGGCAGGAAATAGAACTAATGAGGCTTAATGTTAAGCTCTTGTACCATTGAAATTTGGTGGAGCATCCAAGTTACTGGAAGTTGGGCCAATCTGTGGCCTTTTGGAGCTTGTAGTGCTTTCCCAGTGACTCTTCCGAAGATCTGCAGATTTCGAAGACAAATGAATCCTATAATACAGCAAGCAAATTATTTGTTGCAGAACTTTGCAAACAAGTACCTTGGCACTTAAATGGACTAACAAACTTTGGTGATTTACTTTTTCCACTCAGTTTGTCACTTGTATTCTCTTCATTTCTCAGTCCTGTCTGACTCAAAGCCTCCTTCGAAGAGTGTCTAGGCTCTACACGTGAAGAAAGTATGTGCAAATCATAAAAAGAGGTGCTTAGGCTACCTATTTGCACAAGTGCAGCATCTTGTATCTACACATTGGGAACAGAAGGAGAATGCTTGGGTGGGAATATAACTAAGTAACTAACCATTCTTCTGATTTCTAAACTCACAGACATCAATAAGATAGTTAGGCATCTGGAATCTCTTCCCACTTTCAACAGATTCAACTGACTTGAGGTATCTGCTGCCAAGCTCTTCACCATATTCATCCAATAAAACAATCTAAACAGAAATTTAATACAACGGTAAGATTTGTCACTCACATAGGTCCACAGCAAGCCAACGTTTCATTAGATAATCTAACAGGCAACAGCATCCTCCTATAGAATTGTTGGACACCTACTTAGAAAATAAAGTATTGGACACCAGTTCCTTACCTGCCTTGCGTGTGAGCCACTTTGCATGAGCCTTATGATGCCATCATGGTATTTCTTTGCCTTTTGAGTTAGTTGGGTGGTATACAAGGCATTCCATTCTACAAAGGGTGCACATTTCATATATAAAACTATATAAGCCTCAAAATTCATTATACTACAAAATACAGATATCTCATGTAGTGTTAACACACAGACCTTTGAAATCTGAATCTGCTTCGATAAGGCTCCCTGGTTGGTCAGCAGACACTGCTTCAGCATTGTCAGTCTCTGGCTTGCCAGAGCTAGCAGTGACTTCTGAGTCAGTGTTCTCAAGATCTACACATTACAGAGAAAAAACAAGATTCTCATGGCACTGAGAAGGAAGATGTGGAATATATCTAAGTACCATGAAATTTGTGTGGGCTAATAAATTTCTGAGATTTACTCAATGCACCCATTCCCATCTTGTTACTTGTACTCTTCCCATTCATTGGTTTTGTGTGCACCATAGATTCCTCTGAGGTATGCTCTGCATGTACATACGGCATACCAATCAAGCCACAGTAGCACCCATTCAGTGAGTTAGAAAAGAAAAGAAAATGCTTGCTGTACATCATTCTGTAATTGAGAAAATGAAACTAGGAAGTCTCATGAGGTGCAGGCCCACGGACTAATTAAAAGCTTCGTGACTATACTAGAGCATTTATGAAGTTACCTTTATTCTGATTTTTGGCCTCACAAATATCTACCAGATAATTAGGAAAATGGCATTTCTTCCCACTTTCAACGGATTCCCCTGACTTGAGATGCCTGCTGCACAGTACTTGGGCATCTTCATCGAGCAAAACGATCTGAGCATTCAGTTCAGGGAACATAACATGACACTTTAGTAAACTGATGATTGCAGGACTATTGAAACAACCTAGCATTACTAATCAGCAACATAAACTGCATCATCTCCAATCTTCAGAACATGCACGGAAACAACCATCAAAGGTGTAGTGCTTCTTACCTGCTTCACTTGAGGACCAATTTGCACAAGCCTCACCAAGCCATCATGGTACTTCTTAGCCTTCTGAGTCAGCTGGGAGGTGTAAAGCGCGGTCCACTCTGCAGAAAAATAGGGCGTCCAATTCGTTCACCGCATAAGCATCCACAGGCCGCTGGACATGCGTCGAACAGATGGCACGCAAACCTTGGAACTTCGATTCCGCCACATCGGCTCTGCCAGAACCCGCTGTTTCACCTTCGCCTCCATCACCGCAGCCGGGACTCTTCGACGGGTTCACAAACGTGCGGGGCACGCGTGGCGGGAACACCCTCCCCGAGCTCGGAGGGCGCGCCCTGGCGCCACCGCCGCGGCGCGCGTTCCTGGAACCAGCGGTGGCAGAGGCGGAGGAGGATGTGTACCTGGCGGGGCCGTCCTCGGGCTCGCCGACGTCGACGAGGTGGGCCTGGAAGGAGAGTGCGGCCCCAGAGGAGATTTCCTCACTGGAGCGGAGGAATCTGGACTCCAGGGTATCGCCGGCATCGTCGAGGAGGACGAGGCGGCCTGAGGCGGGGTAGAGGAGGAGGGCACCGTCCTGGTAGGCCTTTCGCTTCTGCTTCACCTGCTTCGTGTACGTCGCCGCCCACCGCTGCGGCGGCTCCGACTCCATCGGAGAGCTCCGCTTGCCTCTCGCGCTCGCAACACAATTCAGCAATCCAGTGGGCGGAATTCAAAAGTTGGAAATCGTTCATTTTCTCCTTTTTATTTAAGGGGAAATTTCCTGTAGATTATTAAAAAGGATCGTATCATGTATGTGTATGCAGGAAAAGTTCAATGATGCTTGTTGTAACTGTTATAACTTTTTTTTTTTTATGCTACTTCCGTCGTCAGTTTGACCTCTAACTTCGTCAAACTACAGGTGTGAAAAGTCAAAAATACCCTTAAATCTAAATATGTCATTAATTTTTTTTAGCATCTTAACGACTTCAAATGAAAAAACTCAAAACTAGAAAGTTGTACACCTCGTCGAGATCTATAATTTTCATATAAAAAGTATCTTCATTTAATTACGAAAAAAAAAGATTTGATTTTTCTAAGATATATTAATCATATGAAATCATTTTTTTTGTGGAATTAAATAAAGATAATTTTTATATGAAAATTATAGATCTCGACGAGATCTACAACTTTCTAGTTTTGAGTTTTTTCATTTGAAGCCGTTAAGACGCTCAAAAAAATTAATGACATATTTAGACTTAAGGATATTTTCGACTTTTCACACCTGCAGTTTAACGGCGTTAGAGCCTAAACTGACGGCAGTGGCATAGAGGGCACAAAAAAGTTGGAGCAGTGACGTTGAAGACCGCTGAACTTTTCTAGAGACACACAGGGCATTACGATCTTTTTTAATGGCACACGGGGAAAATAGCGAGCGTTTCAGGAAAAAAAACAAAGAGAAGAGAGATGCAGCAGGGAAGAAAGGCCGTTAAAGGCTGGGCTCAAGTAGTAATACAAGCCCATATGAAATAGAAATAGGTGTCCATCCAGCATTTTTTATTTTACTAAAAAAATAGTAAAATATTAAAAGTAGCATGTATATCGAACTAAAATTTTAAAAATTAGCCTTTTGAGTTGCGTCAGAGACCGTGACACGCTATATGTATTGGTCTAACTAAATAAATATGTAGCTAGCAAACTGACGTGAAATCGTTTACTTTGTGTCTAAATTATGAAAAATAGCCCAATAACCATAAAGTAATGTATGTTAGATAAAATATGCATTGCACTAGGATAGATATTTATTTTAATAGTTTATCGATCTCAAAAAATTGTTCAATGGTGAGAATACTTGGTGAAGAAGGATGAGATCCGACATCGATGACAAGAGTATTTTGACAAATTGTTCAATTGTGAGAATACGGACACAACCTTTCACTTGGATGACTCTTCTGATGACACCAATAGACGCTTTGTGCGGAGAATCTAAGAATATGAGGTCAGAGAGGCGTTGAAAAGAATGAAAGGAGGTAAGGCGATGGGACCGGATGGTATCCCAATCGAGGTGTGCAGATGCCTCGGGGACATAGCTATAGTATGGCTAACCAAGCTGTTCAGCCATATTTTTCGATCGAACAAGATGCCTGACGAGTGGAGGAGAAGTATATTGGTACCGATCTACAAGAATAAAGGGGATATTCAAAGTTGTACTAATTACCGAAGAATTAAGTTGATGAGCCATACTATGAAGCTATGGGAGAGAATTATCGAGCATCGTTTGAGAGCAATAATGCGGGTCTCTATGAACTAATTTGGTTTCATGCCTGAAAGGTCAACCAGAAAGCAATTTTCTTAATAAGACAAGTTATGGAGCGGTATAGGGAGAAGAATGATCTACACATGGTCTTTATTGACTTGGAGAAGGCTTATGATAAAATACCAAAGAATGTTATGTGGTGGGCTTTGGACAAACATAAAGTCCCAACAAAGTACGTCAGGCTCATTAAGGACATGTACAACAATGTTGTGACTAGTGTTCGAACAAGTGATGGAGACAAGGATGACTTCCCGATTAGGATAAGACTACATCAAGGGTCAGCTTTGAGCCCTTATCTGTTTATCTTAGTGGTGGATGAGGTCACAAGGGATATACAAGAGGACATCCCTTGGTGTATGCTTTTCGCAGACGATGTAATGCTAGTTGATGAAAGCCGGACAGGAGTGAATCAGAAACTGAAGTTATGACGGAAAACTTTGGAGTCCAAAGGTTTTAGACTCGATAGAACTAAAACTGAGTATATAAGATGTGACTTCGGCACTACTAATCGGGAGGAGGAAGATATTAGTTTGGAAGATTAAGTAGTGCATAAGAAGGATACCTTTCGATATTTAGGATCAATGCTATAAAGAGACGGGGATATTGATGAAGATGTTAGCCATAGAATCAAAGCAGGGTGGATGAAGTAGCGCCAAGCATCTGGTGTCCTATGTGACAAAAGGATACCACAGAAGCTAAAAGTCAAGTTTTGTAGGACGACGATTAGACCTGCTATATTGTATGGTGCAGAATGTTGGCCTATGAAAAGACGACATATTCAACAGATAAATGTCACGAAAATGTATATGTTCCGTTGGATTTGCGGTTATACAAGAAGGGATCGAGTTCGGAACGATGATATACGTGATAGATTAGGGGTAATACCAATTGAAGAAAAGCTTGTCCAACACCGGTTGAGATGGTTTGGGCATGTTCAACGGAGACCTACAGAGACACCGGTGCGTAGTGGAATCCTAAGCCAGGATAATAACGTGAAAAGAGACAGAGAAAGACTAAAGTTGACTTAGGTAGAGACAATAAAATAAGACTTAAAATGATGGAATATACTCAAAGATTTAGCCTTAGATAGGAGTGCTTGGAAAATAACTATTCATGTGCCTGAACCTTGATTGCTTCTGCTGAGTTTCAACTTTAGTCTACCCCAACTTGTTTTGGACTTAAAGGCTTTCCTGTTGCTGTATCAATCTAAAAAAATCATAATAAACAACATATTATTAACACATAAATATTTGATAGATAAAATCCTACATATTATACATATTAAGTATCAAGCTAAAGCGACTGTTTATGTTATTGGCCCTGTTCGCTTGGCTTGTTTTTTTGGTTTGTTCAAATTTTTTTTTTCAAATTTAATGTTGTTTTTTCTCTCACAACAATTCAAATTTAACAAAGATTTTTTTCAGCCGATTTCAGCCAAAAAAGTTCGACCAAATGAATCGGGACCATTATAGTAACTAAGAGTGTAATCTATAACCTAAAATATGTATTAGTTAATTATCTCCAATTGTATTTTCTTCGTGTCTATATAACTCTATAAACTTGATCAACCTTAGAATAGTTTGAATTAGGACACAACCAAGTGTCTTTTGGGACAGAGGGAATATAGCGCCCATAGACTCAAATATTGTTTTCCCGTCACCAAACCATAAACTTCAGTTTCTACAGAGAAAAAAAAACGGCGGCACGTGGCCATTTCCTGCCAGTTCAAACAACAACTTGAGCAATTTTAACACACTTGTTTTCCCTGAATATAATCAATTAATTGGACAAACAGATTGGGCTGTTGCACACATTACTGAAGACCCTTTCTGAATCTGTACAATGTGGCAACAGGCGATGGCGTATCAACCGCAGATAATGCCATGCCACTCACTGGAGTTAACTAATAGCCACATCTGGATCCCTTAAAACAAGGTCATCTTGGTTTCATGTGTCGGTCTGGGCTGTGAAATGAACTGTACCTTTGATCTCAATATTGCAATCTACTCACACTCAGTGGCTCCATGCTATTCCTGGACCCGTGGTATTGCAGATGTGCAGGCATGCGGCGACAGGGTGTCTTCACCATTGAACTTTTACTGCTTCAGAACAGAGCATGGCCACCTTGAGCCTCATCAGTTAAAACGGCACCAGTTCAAATATATTCGTTAGTGTCATCCTCAGCATCCTCTTCATCAGCGCTGCTGTAAGTTTGCAAATAAGCTTCCTCCCCATCATCCTGGTACAGAAGCAGCTCCTATCAACTTCAGCTGCAAGCAAGACTTTGGAAGGTAAGGGTCCCAAAAAGCAACATCTGTTTGCCTTACCTCTACATCATCATCATCTGATAAGTCATCCTCAACTGTTTGAAGCAGCTTCAGATCCTGTTTTTCACTAGCATCCTTTGTTTGTACCTGACGATGATAAAGTATGGAATTGTATGGCGTGAGTACATGGGAATTAAACAGAACAGTAAAATAAATTCAGGTTCAAGAAATCTGATGCCTTACAAGTTGTGATTGCAACTTCCAGATCTTGCTTTGCAGACTCGAGATGTGATGCTTCAAGGCCTGAAAACCCATCCAGGGGATGAAAAGGTAAGTACAACTTACACAAAAGGAAAAAGGGAAGACCAGAGTTTATAGTGGAGTTCCTGCGTGTTCAAGAAAAAAAAAGACTTAATAGTGGAGTTACCTCCCGCCTTTGCAGCTCTATAGAGCGTGCCAATGCTTGCCTCCTTGTTAATAGATTCCTAGGCTTCATGATTTGGGGTTGCCTGTAGTTTTTACCCCGGTAGAAAATGATTGCATATCCTTTAGTTGTCTTGTCAAGTGAAATGAGAACACCTTCACTCTCAGCTTCTAGAGAGATTGCAATATGTTTCACTTGTGCGAAGCTCTTTCCCCTGACAATAATTTTAACCAACTCTCGGTGCTTCCAATGCAAATGCATGTTTTGTACAGTTCCATCAAAAACTTCTCGTCTACCTGTGAAATTTTTCAGTAAATAGATGTAGGTCAACAGATGTTTATATCATGAATTCCATATTGCAACTGTATAGTGAGAAGACAGTCATACCAAGCATCAAAAAGGCCCTCATTTTCAGGCCAATTCTGCGAAATAAGAAGCGTTCCTCATCTGTAACTGTTTCCAAATCAGTTGGAAGCTCTGCTGGAGAAAGAAATTCCTGAACTTTCGCCAGAGCCCTCTCTGCTTTGGCAACTTTTGTTTTTGCCTGCAAGTCCAAAAATTATTATAATTAGTATGTGCAATGGCTGCAATGATATTTTCTTCTAAATAGAGTGGAAAGTCTGATGCTGTCTTTAAAATGAATGATGAAAACTGAAATTGGTAAA